GCGAGAATAGAACTGCAGCCCCCCCCCCCCCCCCCCCCGTGACTGTTATGGGTTTCTCTCTCTCTCTCTCTCTCTTTACCGTTGAGCCGGACAGTGAACTGCCTCCTCTTGCGGTCGTGCTCCACCTGGATGGGACAGCTCGCCTCCAGGATGTTGAGCGGCACCGCCGCTTGCGCCATGGCTCCAGGTGAAGAAGGTGGCTCCCGCGGGCGCCTCCTTGCGCCTCCCTTCTCTCCCTCTCGTTTGGCGTGTCCGTGGGCTTGGCTCTGCCTTTTGTGAGCGTGGTGTGCCTGCGCTGGAAAGGGAGCCGCCGCGGAGCCAGAGGGATCCGACCGGGCTGGGCTCCCGCGCCTTCTCCTTCTCCTCCTGCCCTGGGGAACTTCAACAAGGAAAGCCGCCGGGGCGAGGACAGCGGAGAGACATCCTAATCTCCCAGCTGAAACTGACACACACACATACACAAACACACAAAAAGGAGCTAGGAAATCAGCTGTGAGCTCACGTGCCAGCCGGCCAGCCAATGGCCTGGCTCCCTTTTTCTGTTTTGATACATTCCATTCGACTCTTAAAGGGACAGGCCTCTTCGGCTTCACTCTGCCCACCCCCCCTCCACTTATTGATTTCTGTTTAGCCCAGCCTTTCGTCGGGACTAACGAGCAGAAGAAAAGTCGAACAAAGTTTGAGTCCGGTGGGCACCTTTGAGGCCAACCAAGTTTAATTTGGGGTCTAAGCTTTCGTGCAGATCCTGAAGAAGTGTGCGTGCACACACAAAAAATGCCCAGAATTAAACTTGGTTTGTCTTAAACGTGACACTGGACTCAAATTTTGTTCTGTTGCTTCAGACCAACAGGGCCACCCACCTGAATCTAATAAAATGTGTGGCAGGGGATGAGCTTTCATGAGTAACTGCGCACTTCTTTTTTTTTATTATTATTTTATAGAAACAAACACAACACAAACATACATACATAAATGGGGGGGGGGGTTTCCATTACATCATTAAACTGTCTAAGTATCTCATACAATTATTTCAGTTATTTATTTTCTATATTTCGCCTTGTATTTTTGTAAAAGTCTTCTGCATGTGATTAAAAACAAAGTTCTTGTTTCCTTCTAGGTTAGTTGCAGGGGTCATTTCCTGCGGGAGCGCAGGAGCGGAGCTCCGGCAGTAAGGAGCCCAGGGGGTGGGCACATGCAACAAGCCCCGCCCCCTGCTCCCAGCAGCCCTCAGAGGAGCAAGAAGAAGCAGCCAGGTAAGTTGCAGAGCCACCCACCGGCCCAAGCTCTCCCTCCTTTGCAAGGCCAGATCTGCATGTCCCCCTCCCCCAATAGCTGTCAATCCAAAACAGTCCAGTGGAGCCTGAGTGGTGGGTGTTGCCTTCTGACACACTTCCGGTGATGTCAGGGTGTGTGGCATATGCAAATAAGTTATGCTAATGAGCTCCTGCACCTCTTTTTCTACGAAATGACCCCTGGTTAGTTGCATGTGTGTATATTTTGTTCATTATATTCTTCAACCCATTTGTAAAATCTTAACCATGTATTTTCAAAGTTTCCTTCAGTTTGTCCTCTCAACAATAAAGTCAGTTTATCCATTTCTGCAGTTTCAAGCTTTTTGTTTATGATTTCTTCTCTTGAAGGTACCTCGTTTCTTCTCCAATACTTAGCGTACAATATTCTTGCAGTTGTCACCACATGTACAATAAGATAGGTATCTTGCTTTTTACAGTTCTCTAGTAATATATTCACTTAGAGTGTCACGAATTTTGTTAGTCTTCAAGGTACTGGACTCATGCTCTTTTCTATTGACTCAGTGTTAGTGGCTAGACTGCCAGACTAATCTGGGAGAGCCAGGTTCGAATCACCAACTCTGACAAAGAAGCTGGCTGGGTGACCAGGGGCCAATCACAAACTCACCTTATAGGGCTGGCAGCTCCAGGTTAGGAAATACCTGGAGATTTGGGGGGGGGGCGGAGACTGAGGAGGGTTTAGGGAGGGGAGGGTCTTCAGTGGGGTATAATGCCATAGAGTCCTCCTTCCAAAGCGGCCATTTTCTCCAGGTGAACTGATCTCTGTCACCTGGAGATGAGTTATAACAGTGGGAGATCTCCAGCCACTATTTGGAGGCTAGCCAACAGGAGAGAAAGTTCCGAAAAGAAGATATACAATGCAAGAAAAACAATCACAATCAATTTACTAATGCAGTCCTTATCTCTGTTATCTCTAATTGACAAGAATGTGAGCAATGCTGATGGCTGAGAGAAGCTTTGTACCTTGAGATGGAAATTTAACTATTGAATTTTTGGATTGTCTCTCTTTTTTTTTTGTCCAATAATTTTCTTTTCTTTTTTGTTTAGTCTCTTACATTGAGTATTTCTAGTTATTTACATTTTCTCTCCTTACCTCCCTCTCTCCCTCCCTCCCTTTCTTTTAGTCATAGTCTTTCCCCCCCAGCCAAGGGCACAGAGTCTTAATCTTCCACTGAATGTCCTTCCTTCTTTCTTTCAGCATCTAGTCTAGGTAGATCTTCCATCCAGGGGTCTTTTCGTAGAAAAAGAGCTGCAGGAGCTCATTAGCATATGGTACGCTAATGAGCTACTAGGCTATTAGCATACTAGCTCATTAGCATATGCAACGCCCCCTGACATCACCAGAAGTGATGTCGGAAGCAAAAGGGGCAGAAGGCATCTTCAAAAGCCTCCCCTTGACTTTAAACCCCTTCTCACTAGAGTTGGGCAGCAGAAGGAGGAAAGAAGGAAGGAAAGAGGTAGAGAGAAGGAATGAAGGAAGGAAAGACTGAAAGAAAGAGAAGAAGGAAGGAAAGAGAAGGAAAGAGGAAAAGGAAAGAATGAAAGGAGGGAAAGAAAGGAAAGAAAGAAAGAGCGAGAAGGGAAAAAGGAGGGAAAGAGGGAAAGAAAAGGAGGGAAAGAAAACGAAGGGGAAGGAAAGGAGGGAAAGAAAGAGGGCAAAGATATGGGGGAGGGGGAGGCTCTCCCACCTCCTCACTCAAGCCTCTGCCACCCCCCCCCCACAGATCCCTCCTTTACCCCGCTCCA